TAACTCTTGATCTTTCTTCTAAATGTTATCCACATGCATGTACCCTGTTATTTGGCATTTGAAGTGGCATTTTAAAAGTTTCTTATTTTAATCTCATGATATTTAACGTATACTGCTGAACTAGGCTTCATGTTGTTATAACAGACTTTACCTCTGTCTTTAGTTACTTGGGAAGATTGTATCCAGAAAAACAATGTACAAATAAAATTCCTTAGAGATAGCTACTGGTAGCCAACTGAAAGGTCACACAGCTTGGAACATTCATTATTTCATCAGAAGTTTACCTTTTCTGCACAGATCGGTTCAGAGATTCAGTCCTGTCAATGATCTAAAAAACAGAAACAACAGGCTTCATTTGGACAGTGGTCTTGAGGGAAGATACAAAATGCTGGTTGGTGCCAACTTCCAAAAAAATATATGGGTACGGCCAATATTTTTCTCCCTTTCTCATGCTGTCATAGGGGGTTTGAGAGGAAAACAGATATGCTTAAAAGTACTTATCCCCATCCCTTGGAACTCTTGAAACCAGAGGTGGTATTCAGCAGATTCTGACCAGTTCTAGAGAATCAGTACTGGAAATTTTGAATGGTTCGGAGAACCGGTGAATACCATCTCTGACCGCCCCTGCCCCCATCTATTTTCTGCCTCCCGAGTCCCAGTTGATCAGGAGGAAATGGGGATTTTACAGTATCCTTCCCCTGCCACACCCACCAAGCCACACCCAAAGAACCGGTAGTAAAAAAAAATGAATCCCACCACTGCTTGAAACTCCCTCAAGTAGGGCCTGGCATACCATTCAAAAGTCCTCAAATGACAAATCTTGCTGAGCTTGACTGGAAGCTAATAGAAAACCTTTTGGGTATTCCTCTACTTTGATCACTTCTATAAGGCTTTGGGCTTGTAGTTATAAACTAATCCGTTACTCAGCATTTTCCATGCCTTCCTACGAAACTCAACATATACCTTTAATGTTGGGCTTAACGGAGTTTGATACTCGTCTTCCTGACTGGATGTACTTGGGGTCCTCTGTCGTTTTTCTGGGACCTCTTCAGGCTCATATAGTCTTCTTTTCTTCTCCTGAAGGGGGAGAAATCCACAGAAGGGGAGCATTTGCTCAAATGCAATCAAGTCCTCTCTTCTCAGTCAACACAACAAAGCAACAATGTGCTAAGGAGAACCCACCTCAGCATACAGTATGTCACGGGAAATTAGCACGTAGTTAAGTTTGACTTGGTCTGACAAATATGAAGCGATTCTGTGGCTTTGACTATCTTGGTACATGGTTTGTAGCTCACTCTTTCTTGTAGTCACAGCCACTTTTGACTTAATTAAGAAGTCCTGGGTTTTAGAAAAACCGGTTTAGACTGTTACCTGTTCTAGTATGAAGCTGGAGAGACTCTTGCAAGTTTTCTAATCAAGTTAGAGGGTTGTTGGTTTTTTTTTTTGGAAAACTAAATCTAAAGTATCCGTGGCAAGCAATCTATATGCAGGGTTTGAGGATTTGGGGTGGAGATGGGGAGATAGAACTTCTGATTCTCCTACACTAAGGCCTTCAATGTCTAGCTATTCCTAGTAGGCTAAGCATCAGAAAAATGGCTTGGAACCAGAAGTGGTATTCAGCAAGTTCTGACAGGTTCTGGAGAACCAGTAGCAGAAATTTTGAGTAGTTCGGAGAACCAGCAAATAGGCTGGCCCCGCCCCTGCTACCTCCCAATTGATCTTTTGTTGCCCTGAAAAGAAGAACGTAGCTGGAAAGCAAGTTAGTGGGGTGGGGAGGGAGTGGGGATTTTGTAGTATCCTCCTCCTGCCATGCCCACAAAGCCATGTTCATAAAGCCACACCCACAGAACTGGTAGTGAAAAAAATTTGAATCCCACCACTGTTTGGAATGTGCATAAGCACAAACACTGTGCCATAAACACATTTCAAACATCCCAGCCACATTTTTTCCAAGCGTGCACAGGACCCTGTTCTGTGCATGCTTGGAAAAAAGTAATAGTGCAACATTCAAAGCACTTCTTTTATCAAATTTTATGAAGAACTTTGGCTTTATCAACTTTGGCTTTATCATACATATGTAGGTGGGGGGAAATGACACTCTCGATGTTGAAGAGTAGGTTCAAGAGTTGTATTATTCATCATTTTTTAAATGACTTTAGAAAATATTCTAACACTAAGAAGATGAAGCTCTGTGTGGCTTCAATTAATGATATGCTACAGGAATGAGTTTTATATCAACAGCAGATAGTTTTTAGTTCATTTTAATCAATATTTTAATTTAAAAGTGTTGTATTATTGTTCCGTTATATTTCATCAGTACATTTTTAAGAAAGCCATGTAAGCCAATGCAATCTAAAATCACATTCATTTTCCTGTGTCTTTTTTATTTTATTTTCAAATATATGCTGCTAGATACATTTTCCATACTATGCCATTTTCTCTCAATATTCTGTCCAATCAAAACATGAGGTGTTTTTTTTTAAAAAAAACCCTGAGTTTTATCAATACTTGGGTATATGTATCACTCACATCATATTGTGCTGAGCCATATATAATTATTTGTAAGTTACAATGGCTGGGTTTGCACTACAGGTGGTCCTTGCTTAATGACCAGACTGAGAATTGGGCCAAAATTAAGAATCATTATGACTCTTATCCCTGTTTTATTCTTCTTTCTGACAAGGATTAGTAATCTTCATCCCGCTTTTATAATTTTCACTATTTAATAGCAGTAGAATGCAAAGCTATGCATGTGTTTAGAGTTTGGCTTTCTCAAAAAGTTCTTTTGACCATTTACTGTATTGTCCAGCTATTCTCTTTTAATTTTAACCCCTTCATTCTCAGGAATAAGAGAAGAATGGCCACCTTCAGCTAAAATTATGGGTTTTTTTTTTATTCCTCCTATTTAACTGGACAATTTCAATTTGGAAAAAGTATTAAGGATACTTGAAAGCTACCTTATTGGAAATGCATCTTTCATTTTACGGCCTCTCAAACTCAGACGCAAAGTAGGAGGAGGAAAAAAAATAATTGATTTTTTTCTGACCTCTTGTTTTTCTTCCTCCTCCTCAGGCATATTCTCTTCTGTAATGTTCTCTTGGAGCTTGTCCTCAGCATGCTGATTCTCTTCTCCAGGCTCCAAGGTTTCCCTAAGCTGTTGCTGCTGCTCCAGCTCTGCTCCAGGGTACTCTTCTGAAGTTGAAGTAGAAACAAACTTGAGGAAATTGGATGATCTGGTTTCAAAGCGGATGAAGATGGGAGCCTCCTGATCCAGATTGACTTGCTCCAGCATTACTTCTGCTTCCTTCAGATTGCTGTCCTCTTCTTCTTCTTCTTCGTAGGAGCGTGTTGGTGACCTGGGACTGAGAATTTGCAAGTGGGGGGGGAGATAAGAAAAGAAAGGATAAGTGACCTTTTAAAAAAAGAAATGCAATTTTTAATATTTTTAAGGTCACAAACAAACTTACTCTACTAATTTAAAAGGCAATAATCCCTGACAGCTTGATTTTAAGAAAAACTATTGCTTGATCAAGTGACAGATGTCTGTGAAGACTGAAGATTATAATATTCCCTTTTGAGCCAAGGCAATTATTCATGCATAGTGAAAAGGGATTTTGGAAATATTTATGTGGAGCAGTGACATCCAGCCGGTAATAGACCAGGGGTGGGTTTCTCTTTTTTTAATATTTTTTTTAATTTTCAAAACAAACACAACACATCCTTCTATACATGCTGTAGAAAGTATATCAGGTGGTTACAAAAAGACTTTTGTGCATCTCTTTCACAGTCAATAAACATAATTCATAATTAACCTTTATATAATCCAAAGGGATTTCTAATCTTCCTTTCATGGAGACCATTCAATATTCATATCCAATTACTACTCATCATGACACTACACATTGTATACATTAGAAACATTATCAATTATTTATTTAACTATATCTATTGTTACTAAATTTCATTAAGTTTAACTAGTTTTAAATTATACTCTTCCATCTATCAACCTGTATCTTTCCAACAGCAAAACAGTCTCATATCTTCTGCCATTTGTGGTGTCAGTCCTCTAATCATCTCCTTAATCAACTTTGTATGGACTCCTCTTAGCAACTCCTTGCTTATAAGATCTCTCATGTAATCTGCCCTTCTTTTGTTTCCTTAATCAGTTTATCTTTGATTGTCAGTAAGTTTATCAATGATATTGCTAATAAAATTTCTCTTTAAATCCATACATTCTTTATATATATATAAAGTCACAACCCCTGGTATGCCCAAATGGGAGGAAGATCCCTACTTCCGTTCTCTGTCCTTCGGCTCGTCACAAGAGACCATCCAGACAGAAACCCAATATTTTTTTACTGTTGCCTTTTTGTTACATTTGTGCTGATAAATAAATAAAGGGAGACTAGTATAGATCTATTTAAAGCTATTTAGCTCTCATCAGCTAGCCATACCCTTGCTGGGAATCGAACCTGTGCTGTATTGCCTTTTAGGCAGATGTGTGCTACAGAGCTCGACTCCTTATCAGCGAAGCCAGGGTGAAAGGTATATATAACATTAAAACAGGACTGGAACCTATTCATTATAATTAATGTTGATTGTCATGATAATTATCACTTTGCTTTTGAGCCTATTCCAGCCCATTGCTTTGAGGGAGAGTGGCCTGCAGCATATCGCTCAAAGGGGGAGTGGAGCTTTCAACCAAAGGAAGAAAACAGGCACCCTGGTTTAAAGGTTTGAGGTGGAGATCAGCATGAGCAGGTTTACTGCTGGGAATCTCAAGCTTGCTTCCAGTTACCATTAGAATCATCCAATCACATTCTAGACTTTCTGAAGAATAAAGCAGTACCCACTCAATGAAACCAAACTGTTATCAGGCCTCTTTGGATCGTACTTCACTGGCCGCATTCTGTTTTACTGCTTAGAATGAAAGCTCCATCTAAAAGCCCACTCTATGCAAAGCCCTAGGAAAGGTAAAGCCATCTGACTGCAAATGGACTCTAACCAGGGGTGGGTTGCTACTGGCCTTATTGCAGGTTCGGTGCACATTTTGGTGCACATTTACAGCAAAAAAGGTCTGCGCATGCGCAGAATATTAGAAAAAGGTAAAAAAATAATTTTTTTCAATGGAGATTGTTCTGCACATGCGCAGAACCAAAAAATCAAGATGGCGCCACCGACAATAGACCCATGGTGCATGGGTGGCCGAGTTACTACCTACTCAGCTGAACAGGTCCAAACCGGTAGAAACCCACCTCTGGCTCTGACTCAAGAACTCTTAAGAATTCAAGTCTAAAAACATGAACATAATTTAATGCCCCACCTTACCCCCTCTGCTAGCTTGGATCAAAAACTCCACATTTGTCTTCCGATGTAAATCTACAGTCATGTATTAATAAGAAAGTTGCACTACTTTAATGCAAGCAAGAATTGGTCTCTTTGATAAGTAAGATGGTTATAATTGCTACTCCAAAATATTTCAGACTTAGGCATAGACCTAGCATTTAATACAAACCTGGTTTACAATGTTATTTGAGTAACTGAAATAGTCTTTACACAGTAGTTCTGTACCACTTTATAGCAATTAGCTCCGCATCAGCCAATATTAATAGCAAGCTTACTGGTTCCACTCCAAACTACTGCAGTTCTGAAAGATAACCTATACTTGAAAGTCAAACAAGCTTCATTTCTCTTCAAAGTCTGTACTAATGTATTTAAGATAATTAGAAATTTATGAACCAGAATAGGTTCAGCTAATACACATGTGGCCTGCACAATCCATTCCAAATCCTATTTTATGATTTTTCAAGGGCACAGGAGGTATAAGCTGTTTATTACAGTAGAAAATTCACTACCAGTTTTCTACTTTGTAAGAGAAGAGTTCAAGCTCATTTAAGACATCTAGAGGTAGAGTGAGTCTCGTGGAATAATGCTATAATTTATCAAAGAAAATGTCAAACATCACATAAAATTTGTCCCTCAAATCATTTCCCATTTCCTAAACCTAAGTCATATTACTTGGAGCTTGCTTATATAATTACTTTCGCATGTAAAAACTAAATTGAAGTTGACTTAACCTGCATTTGATCCACAATATCCATAGCAGGAACATCTGGGCATACATGTTTAGGCAATACAAAATGTTAGACTATATTTAAATAGTTCCTTTGAACTATTTTGAAGAGCAGCATACTACTACAAGAGAACATGCAAAATAAATTGCCAAATTAACCTGCCAAATTATTCTATTCAATGCTAGTTACATCTTAAATATACTATTTGACTATCTTTCACCTAGGCCACAAGCAAAACCCACATGAATTATGAACCAGATTAACAAAAAAAAGGCATGTACAACCTTCAAAACATAGTCTGAATAAGACCATTATATTGAGTCACAAATATCTTAGGCAAAAAAGATTTTTTCTGAAAAAAGACGTGTCACTATATTTATGAGCTACCTGGTCTGTTTTGAGTCATTGACATTAAAATACCCCCTCCCCCTCGGTCCCTTTGAGTTAGCATTGACCCCTGGCAACTGCCTATACAGGTCTCTGCAGTTTTCTTGGCAAACTTTTCAGAAGTGATTTGCTATTGCTTTCTTCCTCTGGCTGAGAATATGTGACTAGCTCAAGATCAACCAGCTGGCTTTAAACTCACAGTCTCCAAGTTTCTAGCTTGGTGCCTTAACCATTCTATCACACTTACTCTGTGAAAAGAATATCTATAGCTGATTCAAAATAATTCCTTTAAATATATTTTCATTCACCCAATTCAGCAATACAATTGGAAAAGCTGATTTCATTTGCCAAGGTAGTGAAAAGAACATTCAAGTGAAGGGTACATACGCCCACATCCAATAAAATACAATACAATAGCAGAGTTGGAAGGGACCTTGGAGGTATTCTAGTCCAACCCCCTGCGTAGGCAGGAAACTCTATACCATTTCAGACAAATGGCTATCCAACATCTTCTTAAAGACTTCCAGTGTTGGGGCATTCAAAACTTCTGGAGGCAAGCTGTTCCACTGATTAATTGTTCTAACTGTCAGGAAATTTCTCCTCAGTTCTAAGTTGCTTCACTCCTTGATTAGTTTCCACCCATTGCTTCTTGTTCTACCCTCAGGGTGCCCTGGAGAATAGTTTGACTCCCTCTTCTTCTGAGATATTGGAACACTGCTATCATGTCTCCCCTAGTCCTTCTTTTCATTAAACTAGACATACTCAGTTCCTGCAACCGTTCCTCATATGTTTTAGCCTCCAGTCCCCTAATCATCTTTGTTGCTCTTATTTGCACTCTTTCTAGAGTCTCCACATAATTTTTACATCATGGTGACCAAAACTGAATGCAGTATTCCAAGTGTGGCCTTACCAAGGCATTATAAAGTGGTATTAACACTTCACGTGTTCTTGATTCTATCTCTCTGTTTATGCAGCCTTTTTGGCAGCTGCTGCCCACTGCTGTCTCATATTTAAATGGTTGTCCACTAGGAGTCCAAGATCCCTCTCATAGTTACTACTATTGAGCAAGGTACCACCTATACTGTACCTATGCATTTTGTTTTTCTTGCCTAAATGTAGAATCTTACTTTTTTCACCATTGAATTTCATTTTGTTAGATAGTGGCCAATGTTCAAGTTTGTCAAGATCCTTCTGTATTTTAAGCCTATCTTCTGGAGTGTTGGCTATTCCTGCCATCTTGGTGTCATCTGCAAATTTGATGAGTTACCCATTTATCCCCTCATCCAGATTATTGATGAAGATGTTGAAGAGTACTGGGCCTAAAAGCCTTGGGGTACTCTACTGCATACCTCCCTCCATGTAGATGCAGTTCCATTGAGGACTACATGTTGAGTGTGGTTGGTCAGCCAATTACGAATCCATCTGGCGATGATGCTCTCTAACCCACATTTTTCTACTTTGTCTAGTAGTAGGTTATGGTCTACTTTATCAAATGCCTTGCTGAAGTCCGAGTAAATTATATCGACGTAATTGATATATATCCAAACCAAGTAAAGGACTGAAGTCTATCATCTTTACTTTTAAGAAAGTTTCTTACTTTCAAAATTCATAGAAATATTTTGCTGTGTGACATGAAAGCTTAATAAGTTTGATTTTTTTTATAATCAAAAAGGACATAGTCATACTCACAAATACCATACTGGGGACAGAATGGAATGGGCTACTGTTTGCCCAACATTGTTCTCCAATTCTCCACAGGGATTTTAATTTCAGTCTCATTGCTTTATTTCATTAAAGGAATTTCTTCAAGGGGTAACCCATCTTCATACTTAAAAACTGTATCAGTTTCTGCTCTGTCTTCCTGAGTAGAAGCAAGCAGCTTCTTTTAATTCTTTCCTCACTCTTATCCAAACAGCTGAAACAGCTGCTTCAAATAATTGCTTCCTGAATCTTTCCTCCGCACGCTGATGTGTGCGTGGTATTCTTAGGTTAGTGCAAATGTGCCAACCTCTCTAAAAATGATTGCTTGTACAGTTTCACTGAAGTAAAATTGAAGATATTGAAAGGAAATCTAAAAATAAAAGCAGTGCCTGCAACATGGAGAAAAACGGATGTTGAGGCTTATCCAGTTCTCTCCTTGCTGAAGAAAATGAGTTAAGCAGAGAAGTTTGGAGGAACAGATGATTGAGTTTGCACTTATATTGTGTGTAGGAGAAAATTTTGCTTAATGTACTCAATTTCACAATAAATCTTCCTGGACCTGAAGGGAGACCTCAAAAGAAACTTAAGCGAATTAAGTTTTCCAAAGGAAAAATCTTCCAAGTTATGTGCCAACATTAGAGATTTAAACCCTCTTGCTTTAACATTTGAAACTACAGAACATTTTTTCAGAAACTCTAAAAATAAAACCCTGAGATTGGGAAAGGTGTGTATATGTGTGTGTGTGTGATAAAACAGAAGGTATTTTACTAAGGGCCTTGAAATAGAATTATAATTTAGAAAATGCACTGCTAGAAATGCACTTCCATTTCAGTTGAGTACACAAAGTAGAAAATTTAAGTTTTATCCTTTCTAAATGTATTTCCGGTTAAAGTTGGTAACAACCTTTCCCCTCCTTTGCTGAGTTGTGGCAGGTGTTCTACATTTTTTTTCCTACCACTTGAAATAATTTACCAGTTCAAACACATGTTTGTATATTTTTTTACAAAAACATGAGGTGGCAAAATTAATCAATGCCTGCAAAGTAATGCAAACAAATTCACCAACATGCATTCTACAAATTTGTTCCATAGATGATCATTTGAGAAGTTGATGTGATTAACTATAGGTTGTGGAATAAACTACAACTGACCTCATTCACACAACATATTAAGACAAAGTTTGCAGATCACAAGAGCTAAGACTTTTGATTTGTTTGGTTTGCTATTCCAAAAAGCTCCCTGCCTTGAAGCACTTAGGTTGACCCTGGAACAAAATAAGGCAAGTTTTTGTACCTTTATCAGTTAAGTAGAGGCAATACTTTTGAAAAAATAGCTTACATAATAAAGGAAATAACTTTTTACTGGGATTTTTAAGGCAACTATATGGCTAAGATTAGTGGAACCTGACTTTAGTAATATATGGAGATTTTTCTTGTGTATGAAGCTAATAGTAATGTTGATATAAGAACAAATATATTCATATAAGTTCATTCAGCCTACTTTAAGCCTGGGTTGGCATCTTCTTCCCTGGCAAATGCTTTATGCTTATACCACCCAAAGGAAGCTCCCCAGGTGACTTAAATCTTTAATTACAATTTGATTAGTGTTCTGCTTAGTCATGAAGTTTTTAAAGGTAAAGCGCTTCAGTTAAGAACCATTTAAGAAAAACAAACCAATTGCTACAATATGCTGCTCAGAGTTGCTTTGAACTGTGAGATGGGGGACAAATAAATTTGATAATATATAAATTTGATAATAACACAGGTGCAATCAGGCTGGTTCCTTGTTCCAGGCAATATCTTTGGCTGTGTTTGCATAACATACCAAACTACAAGTTAGCCACTACACTGCTGTCTGGTATATTGTATCTCCACTACCCCTAATCAAGGTATTTAGCTTATGGTTAAATATGTTGTATAAAACCAGAAAAGTGGGTTTAATTGACTAACCATATGAAAATTAACCAAGTTAAGGTTGACATGTGACTACAGCCATGGCATGGCAGTTAGTCAAGCTAGACTGTATTTGACCAAGCTAACACAAATGTCAAATAGAAATCTGCCTGGTTTGCAGTATATTATATGTTTGGAATAGACATTCAGTCATGCCATATCCAGAGCAAATTCTGTGGGTCTTACATCAAAGTTCAAGGAATCTCCTATGTTTTTTCCAGCTTTTCTGGTTGGTTCTTGTTTAGTTGATACTTCCTTTCAAGCAATGAAAAAGGTCCCCTACCTTTCTTCACACTGTATAGGCTCTGCTTCTTGGGCTTGTCTGCATTCCCCTTGGTGAGCTTCTTGCGCTCCCTCTCCTCCCGATCGTTGCTTGAGCTGTTCAAGTTTCTGGGACCAGTCACTAAAGCCCTCATCTTCTTCCAGTTCTAAGGTTCCAGGAGGCTTCCCTTCAATCCTGAAAGATGCGGGGGGGAAAGGATGTTGAACACTACCAGGTTCTTTCAGAAAGTTATGAACATTGTGTCTGTTTATGTGCAAAGTGTAGATTTCTGTTCTTAACCAGAATGATGCCCAAATGTGCATGATGGCATCATGACAAGTACTGTCATGTTGTTCTTGAAGTACAATGTTACCTGCAAATACACAAGGGGCAGAGCTTGCCTCTTGATGCTGCCACATGGCTTCATCAATTCCTCTCCCTTGCTCCCTTCCAAAACATGGTTCTTCTCAATGTTTGATTGTATTATTTAGTCCCAAAATGTATGTTAGTGATATATTGCATAAGCTAAGTCCACATATCAAACTAAGATATCTGCTTTATTATTGCCACTATCATTCTATCACTATCACAGCTTAGTTTCTTGAGGATTTATGGAGGTATCTATAGCAGGCATCTTAGGAAGGACACCAAAATGAAAACAGGTGTGATAACATCATCACAAATACAACAATTATACTTGCATCCCAATATCTGATACAGGTACATATGTCCTGGCATTTGCATGACACAGGAGTGTCAAATTCGCGGCCCTCCGTTTTAGCCAAGGGGGGGGGGGAAAGCCATGATACGTCGTGTGATGAAAACATGACACTGCGAGTTTGACACCCCTCATATGACAACATCACACGTTCCACCATTTTCCCTCCTCTACAGTCACCTGAGGCACCAGGAAAATGCAAAGATGGGGAAGAAAGACCATCCTACATTCTGACCCATTTCTATTCCCTCACAATGGCACAGGGACCAAAGAAGAGGCACTTAATGAATTAAGGATACCTTATGCATTGTCACTTCTACATATCATTCAGAATCAAAAGTAAGGGAAAGAAATGGTGAAAACCATTTATTTTCTAACATGTTTTGTGATCCTTTCTGATCTGTAAAACATGGCTTACAGTGTTATTTGAAGCTTAGATCAATTAAGTGTAATATATTGGGCATCTCTTGGTTAAACAAATCATGACTGAGAGTGTGAACTAAATCTCAGAAGATTCCGGAAGGCAAGGATACAACAAACTTTGAGGCTGTATTTCTAACAGCAGGGATGGCTAGGAGCAGAACAACCTCTAAGAAGCTGGACTTGCTCAAATGCATAGGAAGAGAAAAGAATGAAGGCTAAAGGTTCTGGGGCTGTGAGAACTGTGTGATATAAAAGAGATTTATGTTAATAAAGCTTGGCATGTAGGTGAAACAAATATATTGGGGAAAGTACTTTTGAGATTGACATTTGAATCAGCAAGAACTAGATCAAGAATGCAAAAAGAATTGGGCAAACCGATCGTGGCATCGGCAGGAGGCTCTGGGTTGCTGCCTGTTTTACTACCAGTTCTCAACCTGCACAGTTGCACTGTTCAACGTAAATTGTTCTCCGTGCATGCGCAGAACAATCGACAGTGAACTGTGCACACACAGTCACTAAAATCCAAAATGGCAGCGGTCCAGTGGCAGCGAGGGAACCTGTTTGAGGGTGTGGCAGGCCTGGGTCACTACCGATTCTGTGACCCAGGCCTGAATTCCACAACTGGTTCAGCCAAATCAGGCCAAACCGGGAGCAACCCACTTCTGTTCTGTGCAGAAGCATCACCTGCGCGCGCAAGCAAACTAGTAGTTAAAAAAAAAAAAGGAACCCACCACTGGTGTGTTCCCTAACAAAGCTATCAGAATATTTCCCACCACTAAACACAAATTCACACAGGGAATTCAAATTGAAGCAAGCAAAGCATTTGATACATTTGCAGGAGCTCACTACAGCTGAAATGCATGTTTTATTGTGGTGTGTGTATGTGTAAGAGAGAGAGGGAGGGAGGAAGATAAAGAATGACTCTTCTCTTCCATTCATTAATAAAGGAAGAGAGGAAAGAAGCACTGAAACACAACTGGCCAAAGTCCAGCAATTGGCCTTCAAAATATACAGACTGCATTCCAAACCTATGATTCATTGCAATTTAATACAGAGATGCACAATCCTCTAGAACACTGTTAAGTAAAAGGGAGGTCCTAGCATGATTACAAGCAAATGGAAAGGAGCATTGCTTTATTCTTTTTCTTGTTTCCTCTCCTTTTCAATACTGAAGTTTCTTTTTCCCACAGAGCAGTGGCACTGGGCACCTGTAACCTGAACCCAGTTTTTTTAAGGATACCCTACAAATGTTATATTTCTAAATATAAATATACTTGTAAGAGAGGAAAACAAAGGGAGAAATGAAAAGGAATCAGCAGTTATTTTCTTCTCAGGTGCTCAAGATGACCTACCCAAAGAATAATTCAAGTCTTGGCTCCCTAACTTATGTTTTAAAACATTATTTTAATTAAAAAATAATAAATAAGAAATTGGCATCCTGCAAAAATTAAGTACCAATGCACAGTATTACCTGTGTTTAAGAGAAAATCAGTAGGAGAAAAACAGGCAGAACCAGTGTCCAGAGTTAGCCAAGTAATCACCCTGGACTTATAACATTCCCACAGTCTAAGTGGGTCTTGAATTCCATTGACCCTTATCTACTGTCAATTTAGCACTGAGCATTAATTGACTAGATTCTTGTGTATAGGCTTGAGCAATAAATCTTCTTGACTGCATCTTAACATATGGTCCTGGCAAAGAACCTCAGAACCCCACAGAAACAACATTGGACTTTCTTAGAAGATTAAATCACCAAATGTTCACTCTGTGGGGTATAACTTGAAACAACGTCTATCTGCCCTGAAAACAAGGCAAAAACAGTCTAGAATGATAGAGAAGTTGAGATGACGGCTAGAGAGGTCATCTTCTATTTTCTTTCTGTTCAATGGGGGGAAATCATGGCATGTTCACAATAGCAGTCTTTGGTTAGGACAAAAGTTAACATTGCAGCTACAATTCACAAATGTGCCTCATGGGCCATAAAAGATTATCTATCCTTTTTTTCTAATTCAATTAGACAGGGGAGTCTTAAAAACAGCTTGCCACATTTTATTATATATATCAATTTCTTCCAGGCAGTTGAGTAGTATTTTTAAAAAAATCACCTTCACCATCAGTTTAATCAGTAGGATTTTAAAACACTGATTTTTCTGAGGTTCGAAGAAAGAAAAAGTGACCCTTCTTTTCTGACAAGGTAAAGCAAATAAATTCTTTGGGGTATCAAAGGGATGTCTCAGCACCCCTTGATATTCTTATCAATATCCAGGACAGAATTAAATTTTGCAATTAGAAAGACACTTTTAATGATTTATTTGATTTATTGCCAACCTTTGATTTAGGAGGCAGCACACAGAATATTCCCTCACTGTATTTAGTTCCCACAGCCAGCCTTGTAAGGTAAATTGGATTGAAAGAAACAAATTTTGAAAAATTACTCAAAAGATCTACTTTCCCTCTACCAAACAAAGAATGTAAATTAATTTAAAAACTGTTGGGGAGGGAGGGCAACTTGGAAAAAGAAATTGAAACTGTCATTTCATATGGGCAAAAACATGAAGAGATGTCTAAATTTTGAAGAAATTTAGCGTCTGTTCTAAAGAGGATTTTTATTAAAATTTTAAGTCTGAAGGGAAATTTAGTGAAGCATTTTTTCCTCCGGAATGTAATCAGCCAGGTGCTCAGGAAATTACAAAGGCATGAAAATAATACACACTCCCTTACTTGTGTCCAAAACATTAGTTACAATACTCAGAAGTGACTAAACATGGACATCAGTACAGTCTCCCCCAGCTCCATGTTTGTGGGATTTGGGGACCTACCATTCCCATCAACCTTGACCATTAACACTGTTGTCTTTAGCTAGGGAAGCTGTAATCCAAAACATCTGGAGAACATCTGGTTGGACAGGGCTGCTTTGGAGTAGGAAGCTAAGTAAGGGATGTCAAGGAAAGGTAATCTGGACCTACAGGCAAGTTATGACAACTGTGTTTTAGAAGGGGCTATGTACAACAGCATAGCTTACCAGAAGTGGATGAGTCACTGTAAGGGGGAGTTGAGTTTACTGAAGTGGTGTGTGTGTGTGTGATCTGTATTAGCATCCTGGCTTTTGTAGTCAAACCACAGCTGCAGAAATGGCTTGGGAGGAGAATAAAACCATCAAGCCCATTGGAAAAGAAAAAGAGACTCCCCCCCCCCTTGAAATAATTCCTTGTGTGTATTTCTTTTTAATTAACTTTTCCAGAACCACTCCCATTGCCACTGGATATCACTAAGGCTTTCCAATTGAATGTTGTTTTCCAATTGAATGTTGTCTCAGCAAGCGTATGGCTTAGTCCTAACCAATGAAAAGTTAGGAGTGAGAGGAGCCCTTCTAATCAGGGGGGGGGGACTTCAAAAATTGCAGCAATGGGTTTGCTGCCCTGTTGCTGGGTGGGCGTGGCCTAGTCAGCCTCCTGCACCACAGGGGGGGTTTGCCCTCCCCAGGCTCCAGAGGTTTTTTTCCGAGCCTCTGAGAGAGCAAAAACTGCTTCCCATGCGCTCTCTAGGCCCCCCAGAGGCCAAAATAGGCCCATTTCTAGACCTCCAAAACTTCTGATAGGCCTGTTTTTCACCCTCCCCAGGTTACGCAGGCTTTCCTCGATCCTGTGAGAGGGTGAAAACTGCTTACCCAGGTTCTGGAGGCCGGAAAGGCCCATTTCTGGACTTCTGGAACTTCCAGTAGGCCC